TCACAATTATGTTTATTTAACTACAAAGTGTAACAGCTTTAAACAAAATATATGTATTACATGTAAACAAGTACTGCCGTTATGAGACATCCATTGCCAGTAACAAGATATAGTAATAGGTTTTTACCCTTTTATCTGGCACAGATTTGTCTTTTTTTGTTTGCATTTTGACTACTTCTGTTGCGGTTATTGCAAACATGATCCCTTGTATAAAGGTGTCATTTTTCTGCCAGATAAAAGGGTAAAAACCTATTACTAAGTACTGCCGTCTTTGTTGTGGTGAAGTCCATTTGTCTCGGAGTGGATCTGAATTTGCAACAACAGCAACAAAAAGTATTGTACGCATATATGAATGTCTGTGCAATTGCGTGAGAATGCAGGCATTTGTGGCAGCCCTAAAAGTATGCCGTCTCAGGCTGCCGCAGCATGCATGGCACGTGTCTACGAAGGCGAAACCTTGGCAGCTTACCATTGCTCCGACCACTCGGGAACGACATTCACGCAGCAAGTCCCCAGAGAGTGGCGGGGCCGTCTGAAAAAGAAGACAGCGGCAAATGTGTGCCCCGAGCGTCGGTGCAGGTGGCATTTGAAAAGGGCAAGTGTGGGCCCAGCGGCAGCCTGCCAACATCGAAGTCGGCACAGCGCTGGCCCGGCATCCGCTCGGAGGCCAGTTCCCTCTATACACGGTAAGAAAATATTCTGACAATCGTGTATATTTTGTACCCAGAATGGGTAACATAACTTAATAAAATATATTACTTCACAATTGTAACAATCGGTATCGTGTTGTTTACACTCCTATACTTCATGGGACCTCCTTTGCCAGTACCAAAATATGAGAATAGGTTTTCCCCTTTTTTCTGGCAACAAAACAGGTGTTAAGATTCATAATAAAGGTTTTTGGGTTAGATCGCGTTTATTTATAAATGTGTCGACACATTTATAAATAAACGCGATCTAACCCAAAAACCTTTATTATGAATAATATTGGTCGCGAAAGCCTACGTGTTAAACTGAGGTGTTAAGATGTTAAAACACCAAACTGAACCCTTTTACAAGGAATCATGTCTGCATTAACCACTATACTTGTGGTCAGAATGCAAACAAAAAACGTACTCTGATAATATATGCATTGTTTTTGAAACTGATTGGTCCACACCAGAGACAGCTTTCTTTTAAAACTATGTCCCAAAATGGTGTTAGCCCAGAGGACGCCAAAAGGCTCTCTTTATCCTATAATGTCCTATGGAGCTCTCACAATCCAGCCACTCCCTTTCCTTTCCAGGCTTAACTCAACTAAAACTGTTATTTCATCCTTTTGTATATCAACTCTCCTGCTCCCTTAATTGCCCCAACTGACAGGCTCGTGGCTGCCCATCAACTGCCCCAACTGACAGCCTCGTGGCTGCCCATCAACTGCCCCAACTGACAGCCTCGTGGCTGCCCATGAACTGCCCCAACTGACAGCCTCGTGGCTGCCCATCAACTGCCCCAACTGGCAGCCTCGTGGCTGCCCGTCAACTGCCCCAACTGACAGCCTCGTGGCTGCCCATGAACTGCCCCAACTGACAGCCTCATGGCTGCACCGTCAACTACCCCAACTGACAGCCTCGTGGCTGCCCATGAACTGCCCCAACTGATAGCCTCGTGGCTGCCCATCAACTGCCCCAACTGACAGCCTCGTGGCTGCCCATGAACTGCCCCAACTGACAGCCTCGTGGCTGCCCATGAACTGCCCCAACTGACAGCCTCGTGGCTGCCCATCAACTGCCCCAACTGGCAGCCTCGTGGCTGCCCATGAACTTCCCCAACTAACAGCCTCGTGGCTGCCCATGAACTGCCCCAACTGACAGCCTCATGGCTGCACCGTCAACTGCCCCAACTGACAGCCTCGTGGCTGCCCATGAACTGCCCCAACTGATAGCCTCGTGGCTGCCCATCAACTGCCCCAACTGACAGCCTCGTGGCTGCCCGTCAACTGCCCCAACTGACAGCCTCGTGGCTGCCCATCAACTGCCCCAACTGACAGCCTCGTGGCTGCCCATCAACTGCACCAACTGACAGCCTCGTGGCTGCCCATGAACTTCCCCAACTAACAGCCTCGTGGCTGCCCATCAACTGCCCCAACTGACAGCCTCGTGGTTGCCCATCAACTGCCCCAACTAACAGCCTCGTGGCTGCCCATGAACTGCCCCAACTGACAGCCTCGTGGCTGCCCATGAACTGCCCCAACTGACAGCCTCGTGGCTGCCCATCAACTGACAGCCGCCTGCTGCTGCTGATGCTGCTGCTTGTGTAGCTCTACACCATTACACTAACACAATGTCATATGTACCTCTAGTACCCCATGAGTGTGGCCAAGATGCTTGCAGTGACAAATAACCAGCGTATACACGATCGCTTGTGTTGTGATCCAAACATCGTGGGTTTTTAAAATTTATTTTTATTAACGAATGAACCAAGAATAAGTCTACATTATATACTGCCAGTACGCTCACTCAGGTTAAGAACCAGGCTACAGTCTACGGTATAGACTGCCAATACGCTCACCAAGCTTAAAAACCAGGCTACAGTCTACATTATAGACTGCCAGTACACTCACCCAGCTTAATAACCATTGCTACAGTCTAAATTATAGACTGCCAGTACACTCACCAAACTTAACAACCAGGCTACAGTCTACATTATAGACTGCCAGTACACTCACTCAGATTAAGAACCAGGCTACAGTCTCCATTAGTGTTTCTATTTTTTATTCACTTTCTTTTTCTCATTATTTTTCTATCTACGTGCTTTACCGACAGAATCAAAGAATATGAATTCCTGCAGTCACGAAAGTTTTAAGTCAAAATGTATAACGGGTGGGTTGAGGGAGGATGTTGTTGGGTTGAGGGGCGGGGTGTGTGTGGGTTGAGGGAGGATAATCTTTGGTTTCTTCGGTAAAGTCATGTAGACGAAATAAAATAAAAAATAAATAAAATAACGACGTTTCAGACGCAACACAAGCGTCCGTCATCAGGCGGGACAACCACAGCAAGAAACAATTGCTGAAGTAGGCAAAAGAGCTGCGAGTAACAAGGGATTATATAGATGATGAGGGAGAGGGGGCGGAGCCAAGGATAGAGAGAGTGGGGGGGGGGGCAAATATGGCATGCAAGGCAAATATTCTGAAGACAGGGAGCAGTAAATGACCTGCGCTGCAAGCTCGACATGCACGGCAAATTTCCGAATGATGGGAATGAGCAGGGCTGGGCGTAAGAGACTGGAGATGCGGATATGAAAGAAAACTAAAGCAGCTAATGTTTTACCTGGTTAATAACATCCTTCCAATGATTGCTCAATTTGTATCCATCTTCCCGGTTGAAGTTATGTCTATGTTTATATATCTGGATGGCTTCATGAACAAACCTTTGATAGTAGCCAGACGGTTTGCAAAGCACCTTGGTCTCGGAGAAAACAATATCATGAGAGCCCACGGCATTATAGCAATGGTCGGCAATGAGGAATTTGTTTTGCCGTGTTTCAAATCTGACGTGCTCGCGGACACGGTCAGAGACATGACGTTTCGTTTCCTCCATGTAACAATCACCACAGATGCAACTTAGTTTGTAGACTCCCGGGTATTGCAAGTCAGGAATGACATCCTTCACAGATGGGATTAGATCACAGATTTTGTGTACTGTACGGAATTGGACCTGGATCTTGTGTTTGTTTAAGATTTTTGAAATCTTTTTGGTAACGCCAGCTATGTATGGTAACATGATGGTTTTGATCGGTGTCTCAAGTGGTTGTTTCTCAATGGTTGGAGAGACAGCTTTGCGGATAATGCGGTCCGAATATCGATTCATCTTAAGGGTCTGGCGTACGTGTTCCAGTTCACTGGCGAGGTGGTGTTGGTCAGAAATGCAGTGGGCCCTATGGTACAGTGTTTTGATGATGGAATTCTTCTGTGCCGGGTGGTGGTGGGAATCAGGTTTCAGGTAAGAATCTCTGTGGGTGGCTTTCTTGTAGACAGAGTGTCTCAGAGAGCCATCAGGTCTCTTCTCAAACAAAACATCCAGGAATGGTAGTTTGCCATCCTTCTCCACTTCCATGGTGAATTTGATGGATGGGTATATGGAATTAATGTGGTTGAGAAATTGGCTCAGTGCTGGCAGGCCATGTGGCCAAATGACGAAAATGTCAACCACATATCTCTTCCACAAGGAGGGACGTAGGGTGGGATGTCTGGATGGCATCTGTTTCAAATTTCTCCATGAAAACATTCGCTATAACTGGTGATAAGGGGGAACCCATAGGGGTACCTTCATTTTGTTTGTAGAAGGTACCATTCCAGGTGAAGTAAGTGTTGGTAAGGCAGTGCCTAACCAGGGTAGGAACATCAGGGTTCAGTCCAATTGTTTCTTGCTGTGGTTGTCCCACCTGATGACGGACGCTTGTGTTGCGTCCGAAACGTCGTGATTTATTTATTATTTTATTGTTTTATTTTATTTTGTCTACGTGACTTTACCGAAAGAACCAAAGATTATGCATCCTTGCAGTCACGAAAACTTCAAATCTAGAATTGAGGGAGGATGTTGGTGGGTTGAGGGGCGGGGTGTGTTGAGGGGCGGGGTGTGGGTGGGTTGAGGGGCGGGGTATGAGTGGGTTGAGGGGCGGGGTGTGGGTGGGTTGAGGGGCGGGGTGTGGGTGGGTTGAGGGGCGGGGTGTGGGTGAGTTGAGGGGCGGGGTGTGGGTGGGTTGAGGGGCGGGGTGTGGGTGGGTTGAGGGGCGGGGTGTGGGTGGGTTGAGGGGCGGGGTGTGGGTGGGTTGAGGGGCGGGGTGTGGGTGGGTTGAGGGGCGGGGTGTGGGTGAGTTGAGGGGCGGGGTGTGGGTGGGTTGAGGGGCGGGGTGTGGGTGGGTTGAGGGGCGGGGTGTGGGTGGGTTGAGGGGCGGGGTGTGGGTGAGTTGAGGGGCGGGGTGTGCGTGGGTTGAGGGGCGGGGTGTGCGTGGGTTGAGGGGCGGGGTTGTTACCTCGCGCACGTGACCGCCGGGGTGGTGATCGCCATGCTTGCGGAAGTGAGAGTGGCGAGAGGAGGAGCGCTCGCAGGAGACACGCGGAGCCCCGGGCGGTGAGTGCGCCTCCTCCTCCTCCTTCTCCTCCTCCTCCTCCTCCCCACCCACCTCTCTCCACGCATTCTACCCTGCTCCCCGTGACTATGATGATGGTAAATTATGAGACTCCCCTCTTCCTCCTCCGTGCAACCCCGCACGGACGAAGAGGGGTCCACCGTTGCCGGTCGCGCTCCCCGTGTTCCCGCGGATTTGTAGGCTCTCTCCCGGCTCCCCCAGCTCCCCGTGCTCCCCCAGCTCCCCGTGCTCCCCCAGCTCCCCGTGCTCCCCGTGCTCCCCCAGCTCCCCCGTGCTCCTCTGGCTCCCCCGTGCCCCCCCCTCCTCCCCCAGCTCTCTTTGCTCCCCGTCTCCACCGAAGAGTTCCGCGCACTGCGCCGGCTGCTGACCCCGGTGCCCGTTTCCCGCCGTACGACAGCGCGAGCGAGACGCGGTGAGGGTGAGACGTGACGAGGTGTGAGCAGGGAGACGTGGTGAGGGTAGCGGGTGAGGCGGTGAGGGAGACTTGGTGAGGGTGATACGTGACGAGGTGTGAGCAGGGAGACGTGGTGAGGGTAGCGGGTGAGGCGGTGAGGGAGACGTGGTGAGGGTAGGGGGTGAGGGAGACGTGGTGAGGGTAGGGGGTGAGGGAGACGTGGTGAGGGTAGGGGGTGAGGCGGTGAGGGAGACGTGGTGAGGGAGACGTGGTGAGGGAGACGTGGTGAGGGTAGGGGTGAGGTGGTGAGGGTAGGGGTGAGGGTAGGGGTGAGGGAGACGTGGTGAGGGTGAGGCGGTGAGGGAGACGTGGTGAGGGTAGGGGTGAGGTGGTGAGGGAGACGCGGTGAGGGTAGGGGTGAGGGAGACGTGGTGAGGGTGAGGCGGTGAGGGAGACGTGGTGAGGGTAGGGGTGAGGCGGTGAGGGAGACGCGGGGTGATATTCGCCGCCCGCGCAGCGCGAGTCGGCGCCGCCCGCGCGAGCCACCGACGCATTGGCGGCGCGGATGCGTGTGGTGAGCCGCGGTTGTGGTTGCACGTGTGGTTGTGGTTGTGGCTGGACGTGTGGTTGTGGCCGGACGTGTGGTTGTGGCTGCACGTGTGGTTGTGGTTGCACGTGTGGTTGTGGTTGTGGCTGAACGTGTGGTTGTGGCTAGACGTGTGGTTGTGGCTGCACGTGTGGTTGTGGTTGCGAGTGCTGCTGCTGCTGCTGTTGTTGTGTCCGTGCTTGGCTGCGGCGCAGCGGTTCGCGCTCTGCGCTGCGAGCCGAGCCGAGTCCTCTGCTCACGGCCAACACCGAGTGGCGTTAGTCCGGACCGGTGCTGGGCCTCGCCCAAGGTCGACTCGGCCTTAAATGAGCGCGCGGTGCGCGGTGTGAACGTCGGCACGGGACGGGGAGGGGTGGGGAGACGAAGGCGGCCGGACGTGATGAGGTTGACCGGCCCGCACAGTCGGTGCGAGTCGCTAACGGCACTTGCCCCATGAGTCTTTGAAGGCTACACGGAGGGGATCTTTGGCTTTGTTTGCCCGAGCAGCCCAGCACGGGGTGTGTGTGTGGGGGGGGGGTGCTGCTGCTGCTATAGGGGCCGTGTTTGTAAGGGCCTCCCCTAGGTTGACTCGGCCTCAAACGAGTACCTTGTGCGGTGTGTCGTAAACACCGCCACTGGGGAGACAAAGGCGTCCGGGCGTGGTGTTGGGCCACCCACTCTTTCGTGCGCCGTGACGGCTTTCATCGCTGCTCGCTATAACTGCACTTGCCCCAACAGTCGTGTTAAGGCTACACCGAGGGGTGGGGGGCGGTGCGATCTTTGTCTTTGTGATGGCCGGGAATGAGCCGCCGCCGGCTCTCTGTGACATCTGTCCCGGCCGCCTTCCCCTAGCACTGCGGTGGCTGCTGCTGTGGTAGGGAGCAGCAGCAGCAGAGCCACCACACCAGCAGAGCCACCACACCAGCAGAGCCACCACACCAGCAGAGCCACCACACCAGCAGAGCCACCACACCACCGGGCAAGGCTCGTTCACAGCCACCGGTGGTCGATCTGTGGTCGTGTGCTCCCCACGGCATTGTGGCCTCTGTCGCACAGCGCCGGGTGTGTCTGCATGTGTAGTGTGTGCTGATTATTTACTCCACAATGCGTGTTGTGGTGTATCATGCACTTGGAGTCTGCTAGGACCCACGTCTAACAGACAAGGGGTTCCCTTGCCTGTAAAACGCCTTGCGGCGACTTCAGCGGTCTTCACTTCCGATAAGACACCGTATGTCAAAACCGGCCCCAGGAGGTCTTAACCGCACAGTATTAAGCGGTATTTTTTTAGCAAATAATTACGGCTATGAAGCCGATTGGGATGTGGAACAACAAATATTTCCACGTGGGAATTTTACACGTATCGTCGTCTGCTTGTATATATTTCGTGCACATTCTGCCAGATGCAAAACTCCACTCTGCTCCGGTAATGATTTTCTTCCGGTAATAACGAGCGTGATGAATGCCCAACAGCACCTGCAGCAAATCGATATTCCTCCATTTAAAAATTAATTATTCTCTTTTAATTATAACGCGCAAGACTCCGCGTATAGGCGGCCCCGTTAAGCGAATCCGTTATTGAATCCTAGATATCAAATATAGAGCGCATCTACAGTGAATTAAAAACATATTAAATATATCTACTGTTTTATACTAAAGTGACGTGTGCTGCATTCGTTAAAACAAGGAGCGTTCGTGAAGTAAATGTAAGTTTTTATAACGAGACCAGTCAATGTACGTCGGTCGGTAGTGAGGTTTGGATTATTCTGAATCGCAATGCACTTGCACTGCGAATGTTTGCCATTAATGCGCATTTTTGTCCGGTTTTTATACAAAATATAAATTAAGCATTTACTCTGGTTCTCTTGTGTAGTTCCCCGTAGTTACACATTTAAGTGAATAGTAAACTCGTACAATGTATTTTGAGCATCCTGATACCCTGTAAAGATGCATAAGGGCAGAAAGCTAATTCGAATACGCATTATCATATTCCTTGTTTACGCATCAAAGCCTCGCTGATCCTGGTCATTACACACCGCACGCGGCGTGATCGTGGTCATTATACACCGCACGTGGGGCGATCACGTTCATTGCACACTGCACGTGGGGCAATCGTGGTCATTGCACACCGCACGTAGTGTGATCGTGGTCATTACGCACTGCTTGTAGCGTGATCGTGATCATTACACACCGCACGTAGCGTGATCGTGGTCATTACACACCGCACGTAGCGTGATTGTGATTATTACACACCGCACGTAGCGTGATTGTGATCATTACATACCGCACGTAGCGTGATTGTGATCATTACACACTGCACGTAGCGTGATCGTGGTCATTACACACTGCTTATAGCGTGATCGTGATCATTACACACCGCACGTAGCGTGATTGTGATCATTACACACTGCACGTAGCGTGATCGTGGTCATTACACACTGCTTATAGCGTGATCGTGATCATTACACACCGCACGTAGCGTGATCGTGGTCATTACACACCGCACGTAGCGTGATTGTGATTATTACACACTGCACGTAGCGTGATTGTGGTCATTGCACACCGCACGTCAGGTGATCGTGGTCATTGCACACCGCACGTCAGGTGATTCGAACGGCGAACTTCAGCAAACGCGCGCTACTGCTCGGCCATGTCACCCCTCATGATTGAAAATAGTTTTCAAGAAGGCAGCTTGGGATGTTTCTTCTGCGACTCTCAAAGATCTGCGATAGGTTGCTTTGTCTGATCTGAGTGTAAAAGACAAAACCCTCTGACATGTCCACTTGCCTGGTGCTGCATAGGAATCGCGCCCGCACTTCGTGATGTGACACGAAAGCCACATTGCCTGTGGTTGCGTCTGCTCTCTGCGAAGTGCCGCTTCCTTTACGATGCTACGACGCATCGGAAAGGAAGCAACTGCCACACAGGCATATTCTGGTTCGTGTTTATTTGGCTCGGTGTAATCATTGTACGTGTTTGGGTTTTTGCTATTTTCGCTCTGGCAGAGTAAATTAAGCTGTACTTTTTAACAAAAAATATCCTTTTCTTGACGCAATTTCTGTTCCGGTAAGATATTTGCCAAACATTCGAAGCCCAGACGATTAATTGTGAGAGTGCTGTACTCAAAGGGAGTATTGTGCGATGGTTAACTTTATTGTTTTGATGCATGAAACGAAAAACAAACAAAATGACCGTGCATCTTTGCAGCTGTGGAGCAAATGGGTTGATGAGCCCCTTAATGTGGCACGGCACTTTCAAGGGACCTCCTCCACCTCCTCCGTGTTGCTGGCTCCGTGTATGATGTGAACTCGACTTTACACAGCGCCTCTTTGTTTCCTCATCTCTTCTGCAACTGTACACTTTTTGCTCCACTCTATTTTTAAACTGTTTCTCAGCATCTTTAAACCTTTCCCCCACTCCACCTGTATTTCATGAAAATGGAAATCGTTTCAACGTATGTCTCTCGTTCAGTTTGCCCTCTCAGAACGTTACATGCCCAATCACGGACAATTGTAGCATTACGTACTTCACGTTTGTTATTTTTTTCTTAGGTCTGTAATTTATCATGGCCAACAGGACCTGGTGTTGGATAGAACTTTGAAGGTAAAGCTAGGGAGACTGAACAGAGATCATCCCTAAACTACAAAAAAAATCAACACATTCGTGAATTTCACTGCGTAAAAATGTTCAAGTGATTTTCTGCTCAATTAAGCGAGTGGTGGGAATTCCACATTCCTATGGTGGTGGGGAGGGGGGTGTCCACAGCAGGGATAATCGTTTTAGTCGGTCGTATTAATTTGCTAAAGAAGTTCTACATACATAGGGGGGTGGCAGAGGGGGCCTTGTCTGGCTAGTGCAGTGCTCTTCACTAATTTCCAGAGGGGGAGGCCACTTTCTCCGATAAGACATCACCGGCGTGAGGGCCGCTACACCGCCTGCACAGGGGCCTTTTTCACTCTTTGTGTATTGTCGGGGGGGGGGGGGGGGCGCACATCCAGGGGCCGCCAGTGACTTGTGGGCCTTGCAGTGAAGAAGACCGGCTCGCGGCTAAGAAAACACTGTTACAAAAAAAATGTGTTTCTGGGTAGTAAGTGTTATTTTCTCTTGGCTTATGCCTCAAAAGTACGGAGAGTGGCTATTATTATTCGCCACAAACTTTGCTTTTGTGACCAGGACAGTAATATTTTGAAATGTACCTATTTTCAATGAGAAAACGTGGTGTGCATTTGTGTCATTCCTTCACATAAAGTCCTGGTCACAAAAGCAAAGTTTGTGGGGAATAATAGCCATTTTATATACTTTTGAGGCATAAGCAATTAGAAAATAACACTTACTACCCAGGAACAAAAATCGTGTTACATAGTGAAATCTACTTTCGTTACACAATGTTACTGAATGTCTATACATGTGTATTAGTGTGCATGTTTCGGTGTGCATACGGTGTTATTGTACTGTACATACCAACAAATACAAAATACGTTCCGCATGCTTTATGGTGTATACGGTGCTGTCCACTACAGTATTTGTATGCAGGAAGTCGTCATGGGTTCGATCCCGACCCTCACGCTCGCTGTATATTTTGAGTTTGCATGTCTAGCTCTCCCCATGGTCGCGTGGATTTTTCTCCTTGTCCTACGGGTTTTCGTTCCACATTTAGAATCACTATGCATTTAGAGTATTTGGCTGCTATAAATTTCCACTTGATAGGCCACTTCATTGAGCTATCATTTGTACCCAGGTCGCTTGTGAAAAAGAGCTGTATAACTCAGTGGGCCTTACCTGGTAAAATAAAAAATAGTTTATGTCCCCCCCCACCCTCTCCCCACCGCCCTCTCCCCCAAAACTCTTACCGATCGCCTCTTCCCCACCATCCACACGCATTTATTACACAATAACTAGATTATTTATATATTATACATAATGTAACACGGAGTGCATTTTTTATTGTAAATTATACGTCACATAGCATTGTAAGGTGTATCATACATTATTCTAGTATATTTAAAATGTGTACATTTCCGATATATTTTTATATTATCAGACGTGATGCGGCTAAACGAGATAATGTCCAGCTAGCTGGGGATTTCACGGCGATGTTTCAGGCAACGACCCTTCTTCGTTAGCACACCGTCCATGGTCTCACTCCAGACCTGCGGCGCTATCAGGTGGTCTGTAGTAGAGGGCCCGAATCGTATGCCGGTTGCGATCCTCCCTGTGGGGTTTGTTCAGCGCTCCGCTCGTGCTGTAAATGCTTCTCTTTACGTGGTTCGGTTGTTGTTTCCCCTCTGGCTTAAAGCAAAAACTAAACAAAAAGGGACCGGTGAAACGTCCCAATCCAGAGACCCTCCTGAAAGTCACGTTAACAAATACTATCGGGCGACGTTGGCATCTGTGCATGAGGGCAATTCACAAAACAACTCAACGTGTTGGTCAATAGCACTGTGGCCTTACAAGGAGAACACATAATATGGCTCTTCCTTCAGAGCGCATGCATGGAGATGCCAGGGAGACGGAGCCGGTGGGAGTTGGAGACTGCACTTATTAACACTACTGGGTCTGATAACAATAAACTTTTAACAATGTTTCCTCATGAATATTTTTGTTGAAATAGCCATATGAATAGTTATCTGGAAGTAGCCATTGAGTAACAGGCAAATGTGGCAACATTCAAAAATATATTACTAAAAATATTCATACGTATGTATGTAAATAGAGACCTTTGTATGTCTCAAAAACGTCTAGGGTACTTGCTGACAAATTAGTATCATGCTGAAATGTGGTATATAGGTAGCTTTTAGGATACCTAAACAAGGGTTAAGTGTGTCTCCTACTGCAATGATACAGCTGTGTTTTAGTTGGCCAATGATACAGCTGTGTTTTAGTCGGCCAATGATATAGCTGTGTTTTAGTCGGCCAATGATATAGCTGTGTTTTAGTCGGCCAATGATATAGCTGTGTTTTAGTTGGCCAGTGATACAGCTGTGTTTTAGTCGGCCAATGATACAGCTGTGTTTTAGTCGGCCAATGATACAGCTGTGTTTTAGTCGGCCAATGATACAGCTGTGTTTTAGTCGGCCAATGATACAGCTGTGTTTTAGTCTGCCAATGATACAGCTGTGTTTTAGTCGGCCAATGATACAGCTGTGTTTTAGTTGGCCAATGATACAGCTGTGTTTTAGTCTGCCAATGATACAGCTGTGTTTTAGTCGGCCAATGATACAGCTGTGTTTTAGTCGGCCAATGATACAGCTGTGTTTTAGTCGGCCAATGATATAGCTGTGTTTTAGTCGGCCAGTGATACAGCTGTGTTTTAGTCTGCCAATGATACAGCTGTGTTTTAGTCTGCCAATGATACAGCTGTGTTTTAGTCGGCCAATGATACAGCTGTGTTTTAGTCGGCCAATGATACAGCTGTGTTTTAGTCGGCCAATGATACAGCTGTGTTTTAGTCGGCCAATGATATAGCTGTGTTTTAGTTGGCCAATGATACAGCTGTGTTTTAGTCGGCCAATGATATAGCTGTGTTTTAGTCGGCCAATGATATAGCTGTGTTTTAGTCGGCCAATGATATAGCTGTGTTTTAGTTGGCCAATGATACAGCTGTGTTTTAGTCGGCCAATGATACAGCTGTGTTTTAGTCGGCCAATGATACAGCTGTGTTTTAGTCGGCCAATGATACAGCTGTGTTTTAGTCGGCCAATGATACAGCTGTGTTTTAGTCGGCCAATGATACAGCTGTGTTTTAGTCTGCCAATGATACAGCTGTGTTTTAGTCGGCCAATGATACAGCTGTGTTTTAGTTGGCCAATGATACAGCTGTGTTTTAGTCTGCCAATGATACAGCTGTGTTTTAGTCGGCCAATGATACAGCTGTGTTTTAGTCGGCCAATGATACAGCTGTGTTTTAGTCGGCCAATGATATAGCTGTGTTTTAGTCGGCCAGTGATACAGCTGTGTTTTAGTCTGCCAATGATACAGCTGTGTTTTAGTCTGCCAATGATACAGCTGTGTTTTAGTCGGCCAATGATACAGCTGTGTTTTAGTCGGCCAATGATACAGCTGTGTTTTAGTCGGCCAATGATACAGCTGTGTTTTAGTCGGCCAATGATATAGCTGTGTTTTAGTCGGCCAATGATACAGCTGTGTTTTAGTCTGCCAATGATACAGCTGTGTTTTAGTCGGCCAATGATACAGCTGTGTTTTAGTCGGCCAATGATATAGCTGTGTTTTAGTCGGCCAATGATACAGCTGTGTTTTAGTCGGCCAATGATACAGCTGTGTTTTAGTCTGCCAATGATACAGCTGTGTTTTAGTCGGCCAATGATACAGCTGTGTTTTAGTCGGCCAATGATACAGCTGTGTTTTAGTCGGCCAATGATACAGCTGTGTTTTAGTCGGCCAATGATACAGCTGTGTTTTAGTCGGCCAATGATATAGCTGTGTTTTAGTCGGCCAATGATACAGCTGTGTTTTAGTCGGCCAATGATACAGCTGTGTTTTAGTCGGCCAATGATACAGCTGTGTTTTAGTCGGCCAATGATACAGCTGTGTTTTAGTCGGCCAATGATACAGCTGTGTTTTAGTCGGCCAATGATATAGCTGTGTTTTAGTCGGCCAATGATACAGCTGTGTTTTAGTCGGCCAATGATACAGCTGTGTTTTAGTTGGCCAATGATACAGCTGTGTTTTAGTCGGCCAATGATACAGCTGTGTTTTAGTCGGCCAATGATACAGCTGTGTTTTAGTCGGCCAATGATACAGCTGTGTTTTAGTCGGCCAATGATATAGCTGTGTTTTAGTCGGCCAATGATACAGCTGTGTTTTAGTCGGCCAATGATACAGCTGTGTTTTAGTTGGCCAATGATACAGCTGTGTTTTAGTCGGCCAATGATACAGCTGTGTTTTAGTCGGCCACGCCAGCTGCAAGATGTTCAATTTGAGCATGAGGGTGGCCTTCCCTCTTTTTTTTCTGGTCTCATCCCCACCAGAGATCAAGCGGAGGGCACGCTCAGACGCGTCACTGGGGCTGTGCTCCCCGCTGTTGGGAGTGACGAGCCACCGGTTTGGACGCAAGTGCGTGCACGGCGAGCCGATGGAAGATGCTGGGCGAATTGACGACCTCAAGGCTTTTACCGGTTGCTCCAGTGTTGTAGTGGAAGGCCGCGCGTTGTATTTGGCGCGCGGTGCAATGGACCAGGCCGGTGGAGGTGCCTGTCAGTCTGTGGTGCATCACAAATGGTGCTCTGCGTGTTTTGACCCTCGTGTATCGGTTGGTGTGAGGATACACGTTGCATATCCACATCAAATGCTGTGGCCTCCACTACATCGGTGATTTGGTTTGATGTTTTTAAAATTATTTCTCCAGTACAGATGCCTTGCGTTTTAAACGCACGTTTACATTTGCGCAGTTTTGAAATGGCGCGTTAGATTAAATTGCACCCATTTTTGTAATGCGCGCGCTATTATTGCAATAACACGCTTCGGCACGTGGGCCACAGTGTTACGGAACGCGCCTGCGGAGCTGATCGTCAGTCAGGCAGCAAAGTTGAGTAGCGATGCTGCCTGCGGTGCAGCAGCATGTCAACCACGAGCGCGTGCAGCAGCAGCCGCAGCAGCATCGCATTCTCGCACGCCATTTTGAAGATCTTGTCTGTGTGAACTTTATCTTGTTCACACATTCGAATGCGCCATCATCTCCACCACCGTCGTCATCCGATGATGATGATGATGATGATAACCCTCTCTCTCTCCAGTAGTAACCCCACCACTCTCCCCTCCTCCTCGTCCCTTCCACCAGCCCCACTATACCACCACACTCAAACATCACACTACGGGTTAAACATTTTTTTAGTTTTACCTTTTTTTCTTTAAATAAGCTGTTACTGTCTTTAATACATGTATGATAGTATTGGAAATATAATGTTACAGTAACCAGTGAAATATGTGGACGTGTAAGAATGAGGTTCGATGGGGCGCTCTCTCCCTAACCTCAACCATTCCCTTAATTTATTTTCAGTAAATTCTGTTTAATTACGCGATGTTGAGTTACGCGCTGTCTCACAACCCCCTCGTAAAACGAGAGGTAGCAATATAGTCAATGTGATTATTTTTTTGTATTATTATTTTATCAAATACTCATGCCAACGACAATATACAAATTAACCTCATTCCCTTAATAATGAATAATTATGTTAAGAGTGATTGAAGATATATCGTGTCCTCGATTGCATTGTGACTGGATGTCAACACAGAGCAATAAAACTATTGGCATTCATAAGTAATTTCCTTGAAATCTGTGCTCCGTTTTTCTCATCCGATTCATCATTGCAACGAATAAGTCCATAAACGTGGAAAACCAACACGGTAACTTTTAATAATGACAAACGCTTTTCACACCGTCTGACAATGCAATAAGTGAACCGCAGGAGAATTCCTTAGCGGGCAGCACGCTGTTGCATGTTCATTTGCGCCTTTGTGTGATGATGACAATAAACAGTTTGGATTGCGATTTTTTTAATTATAAAACGGCAGCCAGTATAGGTGCCAACCGATTGTTCAAAGTGCGTGGTCCTGTATTTGGATGTTTGGCCAATTTTAGGAGCAATCAAAATATAGATTTTTTTGTCCAGGTGTGAAACAACTAACAATGACTTTCTACAGCTCCATAACTTACTTACGAACCAAAGTGAACTGCATACCAGTATATTAGCTAGCAGTAACAATATAGTTTATTGCTTGAAAAAGTCACGTGCTGGCTAGCACACAGAAGGTAAAGTTCGATGTAAAGTGTTTATTGAAACATTTTACAACAATTTTTTACACCACCAAACGAACTGCCAAAGCATAAAAGACTGGGCCGCATTGCATCATTGTGAATCTGGGATAAAAGGAGAGTGCTTCTCTCTGGGATAATGGGAATAACATCGTCTCGGCCCGATTACGCACAGATAAGAGGAGTTTGATATGACCTCTTGTGACCTTTGCATGTCAGTCCTTGCATCTTTGCACCATTTGCTTTGTGAATCTGATCGCGAGCGCAATAGGACACTTGATTTAAGAGCAGCCATTACACTTCCCGAGGGGGTAATACGTTACTTAGAGTGGCTGCTTAATTGAACGGTGACATTGACAAACAATGGCCTACTGGAGATGAGTGCCAAAGGGACCTTTAACTTTTATGAGTGGGGATCGCTGCCAAGATCCACTTGTCCAGTGTTGAAGTGAACTCTGTCCGGTGAGTGGCCTGCAGCTTGCATGCATTGGGGCCGTTTCGAGTCTGTTGAACGGTTTTACCGCTTTGCGCTATTCAGTCGGTGAGTATGTTGATTACTCGTAGTTCACACAATGAGAGAATGCATATTAAAAATAGGCAGTGGCATTGTACTCTTTGGTTTTTTCGGTAAAGTCAGGTAGGTAAAAAAATAAATAAAATAAATTAAAACTAAATTAAATCACGACGTTTCGGGCACAACACAAGCGTCCATCTTCAGGTGGGGACAACGTAGCGAAAGCACACACTTAAGTGTGTCTCACTTAAGTGTGTCTCACTTAAGTGTGTCTCACTTAAGTGTGTCTCACTTAAGTGTGTCTCACTTAAGTGTGTCTCACTTAAGTGTGTCTCACTTAAGTGTGTCTCACTTAAGTGTGTCTCACTTAAGTGTGTCTCACTTAAGTGTGTCTCACTTAAGTGTGTCTCACTTAAGTGTTTGTGCTTTCACTACACGTTGTCCTCACATGGACACACTTAAGTGTTTGTGCTTTCACTACGTTGTCCTCACATGGACACACTTAAGTGTTTGTGCTTTCTCTCCGTTGTCCCCACATGGACACACTTAAGTGTTTGTGCTTTCACTACACGTTGTCCCCACATGACACACTTAAGTGTTTGTGCTTTCTCTCCGTTGTCCTCACATGGACACATTTAAGTGTTTGTGCTTTCTCTCCGTTGTCCCCACATGGACACACTTAAGTGTTTGTGCTTTCACTACGTTGTCCTCACATGGACACACTTAAGTGTTTGTGCTTTCACTACGTTGTCCTCACAAGGACACACTTAAGTGTTTGTGCTTTCGCTCCGTTGTCCTCACATGGACACACTTAAGTGTTTGTGCTTTCTCTCCGTTGTCCTCACATGGACACACTTAAGTGTTTGTGCTTTCACTACGTTGTCCCCACATGGACACACTTAAGTGTTTGTGCTTTCACTACGTTGTCCTCACATGGACACACTTAAGTGTTTGTGCTTTCTCTCCGTTGTCCCCACATGGACACACTTAAGTGTTTGTGCTTTCTCTCCGTTGTCCTCACATGGACACACTTAAGTGTTTGTGCTTTCACTACACGTTGTCCCCACATGACACACTTAAGTGTTTGTGCTTTCACTACACGTTTGTCCCCACCTGAAGAAGGACGCTTGTGTTGCGCCTGAAACGTGATTTAATTTAGTTTTCATTTTTTTAACTTTTTACCTACGTGACTTTACCGAAAAAATCAAAGAGAATGAATCCTTGCAGTCACGAAAGCTTCAAATCTAGAAAGAAGTGACATTGTACATGACGGAAAACAACAATTCTGCACGCAATATTTTTTAAAATTTAGAAAGGCCCCTGATTTCGGATTTAACTCCATTGTCTTTCAAAGTTCTTGAGTGGAAACGCACAATTTATGCACAAATGTAAAAAAAGACCCTGCAAAACTGGATTACCGTTGACTATTTGCACATGAAGGTTGCTTTTTCAACTCAAGATCCATATTTTTTACGTGGACGGACAGCTATATGAAGGAGAGGTGTAATTTGTGCTTCTGCTGTTGCTAAGGATTAATTTGTGTTGGTATGTTTTCACATTAAACTAATATCCACATCTAACTGAGACGGTCCTTGCCTATAAACATGACCGCTCCAGACATTTGTCTTGTGTTCAACGAACGCTTCTGAAGTTACGCGCTCCCAGAAGGCCGTGTGGCAGGACAGATCCGTGAGGGATGTCTTGCCTGCCTATTTACGTTTTTGCATTTGATCTGGTTCAATAATTTGACAATGTGTGCGTGTGCCTGCGTGCCTGCGTGGCGCCCCGTGAATCGCCTTCTTGTTAACCTCACAAGACCTATTAGGGAGCTCCACTCAGCTGGCGTGAAGAAATGCCAGCGGTTTGAGTTAATGTTTGGCGTAATCGGAATTATTTGAGTAAGGGGAAAAAATGCAGATCAAACACATAATTTTAAAAAAGTGCACTTTTAGAACTCTCGTTGAGCTTGCGTCACTTTGGGCGATGCGCGAAAGATTCTCCGCGCATCCGTGTTGCCGAACCGTTGGTTTGCCGGGCATAGTGTACGCCCCTGTTGTACGCGCTTGCCACGCGTGCTCTTGCATAGCACAAAACCACCACTCCCACTTTTAATGAGGCCCGGCACAGTAAAGGTGAGGGGTGGTGTTTATGTTGTCAAGACCAGCCAGAGAATTGGACGCCTCCTTTTCATAATACGAGTTAATTATGTCGGTCGTCTAACTCAAATTACGTTTTGGAGGAGGTCATGTCCCACGGGTGTGACTCACGGTGGCAACGTTTTTTTTGTTGTGAGAGTGTGTGACCACACCTGGAGGAGGAGAGGGCTTTGTAATCACTGTCATTAACTAGTCAGAGTCTGGAAAGCCATAGCGAGGAAGCACCGCTGAGCGCGAGCGGCGCGTGTTTGGACTGCGCGAGGAGCATAGAGAACAGGCTGCAGGCCGCTCGGCATCCCTTCACGCCAGTGAACCTACGGTGACTACGGGCATAGCCACCGCGTCGAGATGGTGAACCTACAGTGAACCGACGATGACTGCGGGCACGGCCACCGCGTCGAGACGGTGAACCTACAGTGAACCGGCGTAGACTGGCCTGGCCACCGCGTCGAGACTGTGAACCTACGGTGAATCGACGTTGACTGTGGGCACGGCCACCGCGTCGAGACGGTGAACCTACGGTGAACCGATGGTGAACTGACGTTGACTGGGCACGGCCACCGCGTCGAGACGGTGAACCTACGGTGAACTGACGTTGACTGTGGGTACGACCACCGCGTCGAGATGGTGAACCTACGGTGAACCGATGGTGAACCGACGGTGACTGTGGGCACAGCCACTACGTCGAGACTGCATCTGAAGATGCCGCCAAAGCTTGCTTTGCATTTTCGTTGCGCAGTTGTAGGAGGGCTTAATTCGGGACTGTGTGTGTTGTGGAAGTGTCTCTATTTAGATCGTGCAAATAATTATGATTCATCATTCATTTTTGGGGTTTGCCGCTTAATGATGTGACCACATGTGCATCATAAGACCCTCCACCACCTGACATGGCAAACAAATTAAATTGTCACACGTACAAGTGTTTGACGCGCCAGTTATTATTTTTTCAGCTCGATACAGATTTGGCCAGATCATTGCATGGCCTAGCCCAAGAGTCAATTACGAATAAACACTGTTAGCTGCAAAAAACCTACGACGTGTTCTGCATAAATAATTGGTGGCATTTTATCATGCATTTGCGTGCGGTTGACTCTTGGATTCAATGTTAAAGATGCAGGTTTGGGCTAACGGGGGACACTGCCGCATCTTTGAAGCTCGACGCAACACAAGAGAGTGCCCCACCTCACTGCTGCACACCACACCACCGCCGCACGTCTTCCTATTACCAGCATGTGTTTGTGCTCGCGAAGAGATGGTCGGCAACGTCTGTCCTACGGACCTGCACCTTCTTAGGCGAGAGGCGTCGGAAGGATGAAAACATCGTGTGCGAATTTGTTCTCATTCGAGTAACGGGAGGCGTATATTTTCAACATCGCACAGTGAGGATCGCAGCAGCAGCATATATAATCGGATGTATCGTATGCGTTTAAACTGCGTCCTGGTAGTGACAAACGCGGAGCATGTTTTATTCATGTCGGCTCTTCATTGCTTGGACGTTATTTACCGCCGGCCGTGATGAACATTGCAAGCCAATTACCCACTTATTTTTGTTCACCTATTTATGGATTATTCTTTTTCCGAATGGATCCTGGATGCGCGAACTAATGGCGGTGCTTTCACGCTGCGGTCCAAGTCGCGTGACGATGGTCTACATGATGCGTCTGCCATATTCGTCACGTTGGGATAAATTATTCAAATTACTACTCGACGTTTGTCATTGTCAAGGAAAAATAAAGCGTGTCCACTGGTTAGCGCATGCCACTGTAGTGATTGCACAACTGATGTTTCAGGACAAGCCTCACGACGAGAATGCATATGAACAGGCACACTAACTAGTTA